AGATAACTTATATATATATATATATATAGCTAAAGTTCATTGTTGAATTATTTCTATACCACAAGGGGATAGTAAATCCTGTGGAGGAGTGGAAGCGTAAAGCGATCAGGACTATTATTTTTTCTAGGGGAACGACTATGTCTACAACATTGACCAAATATTCACAGCACTTATATCAAAATTTATGCATTCAAGACTTTAGCTCTATCGAGACAGTGCGCGCTGCATACAAAATGATGGCTCTGCGCTGCCACCCCGACAAGAATCTCGACGACCCAAACTCCGCCAATAAGTTTCGCGAGGTCCAGATTGCGTACGATGTGCTTTCCAATGAAGAGCGAAAGAAAACGTACGATGCCGAGCTTCACCACTTTAAGTCTGCTAAGGTCCTTGGGGGTCTTGCCCCTGGCAAGAGCGGCCATCGGAACCACGGTCCCAAGGGCGACGCCGTCGACCTGAGCCAAGGCACGGAGGAACATCCCTCCCCATCCAGCCCGGGCCTCGACTTCCACCTTAACTTTAGCATCAACGAGGAGCTCCACCGCTACCGCGCGAGTCGGACAAGCTTCGCGAGCACACGGGCCAACTCCAGCCACCCCCTCGGCTACAAGGTGGATCCCGCGACGTCGAGCTACACCCAGGCTCAGCAGGAGATGTTCCGCCGCCGCGAGCGGGAGCGCCAGGCGGAGCTGAGAAAGCAGCTTGAGCGGGAGCGGCGCGAGCGGCGGGAGCGAGAACGGGAGCAGCGTCGCCGGGAGCAGGAGCGCCGCGAGGAGCAGCTCCAGCGGCAGTGGTCCCAGCAACAGAAGTGCTTCATGGCGGGGCCATCGCTGCGGCGCCCGCGCGGGCCCGTGGCCCCCTCTGTGGTCCTCCCCACAAGCCGCGGCTGCACCCCCCACCCCGACCTCCCCGAGGCCCTGCGCGTAACAACGCCGCGTTCCGGCCTCTCCGGGCTGTCTAGTCACAGCCACGGGCTCGGGCTTGGACGGCCGTCCTCGGCCGGGGGGTCGCTGCGCCCCGTGCACGTGCGGCCGACCGTCGACCTGGCGCGAACGACGGCCGCGGTGACGGCGACGCCGAGGGGGGTCGCCAGGCGGCTCGCCCCTGCCTCCCCACGCGACCGCGTGAGGCCGCGGCCGACGTCCGCCCCCCCCTACCGACCCCACGTGCAGGCTGACAGCGCGGGGCCGGGTCAGGAGGGGGACGCCGGCGGTGGCCATGAGACGGAGAAGGCAAAGGAGGAGGAAGGAAGGAGGGGCCCCTGCAGCCATGGGCCCCGCTTGGAGCCGAACAGCAGCCGCGCCGAGCGACTGGAGCGACTTCGCCAACAACAGGCTAAGGCTCGGGCGGAGCAGGATGCCGAAGCTAGGGCGAACCCTACTGTCTTCTTCACACGGCAACTAAGCATGACCGTAGCGGACGAGCGAAGCGAGCGGGAGCAGCTGATTGAAAAGGAAGAGGCGTTGGCGTGGTGCCGCCTGCTCCGGCAATCACAGACCATTTTGAATGAGCTTATTTGTAATCAATATGTGCGAAAAGCCCTCCAGAAAAAGGCTATCCAGTGTGAGATCTTGTTCCAACACGCCATAAAAGAATACACGATGCCTGTGTGCATGGCAAAGGAACTATTGGAACGCCGAAAACTCGAAATATTTGAGCGTAAGGCGCGCAAAGCATTAGCTGGGCGTGAGGCTAACGCGTTGTATTATGTGATACGAAACATCAAAACGATGAAGTCTCTCTTGGCTCAAGAAGCTCCAGAGCGCAGGCGACTGCAGGAGTTGGAGCAGTTCAGGTCGAGGTATCTATTCAAAGTTGTATTTCCTGAAATCTCTGAGCGTATTCACCTGCGGGAGGTGGAGTCCCGCATGCGATGCAATATCATCCGGCGAGCTCGTGATTCTATACCGAGCTCTTCGCCGCTGAAAAGGGCTGTTGGGGCCAATCCGAGCGTTCATTTGCCGCCACGTGAATGTGCAAGCCCTTGTTCAGATACCCAGTCGCTTTCCACTAATGGCAGCACAGCGAATGCCAGTAACATTTCCCCACACGCTCGCTCATCTGCCGCGCTCAACACAATTGCCGCCGTGACGACTACCGCAGTCAACGAGCTTATTGTGGGTTCACGTGAGAATCGAAGTGGAGTGGAGATATCCTCCTTAGACAACGTGCCCCTTACCATGTTGTCGGAGCAACGCTGCACCCGACTGCTCAGCGTTGAGAGGCGCGTCCGTGCTAATTTAGAAGATATTTATGATGGTGAATTTCTTCGGATCATTCGCTTGCGTGCGAATACGATTCATCATTGCTACAGGAGAGAGATCCAGGCCGTTGCGCGGCGTGTGTTACAGACCTCACAGGAAGAGGTGCGTGCCCTTCGGAAGCATATCGCTTCATTGGAAGCAAGGCTAAAAGAGCCGTTTCGTCAGGTCCCGTCTGATACTCTAAAGCTTTTTTAATAACCCCCATTTGAGTTAAGCATCTCGTTCCACTGCTAATAAACATACACACCAACACAAGGGACTCGAGCTCGGAAGGGTCAGCTCGCGAAGTTTGAGTAGATCACCCTCCTACTTGAATTCATTCCGTCATTTTTTCTGATATGATCATATTCAAGGTTCCTCTTCTCTCAATATCAACAATTTAAATGCTATTTAAATTTATCATTATTTGAGTCTAAATTATTCTTTACCTCATTGAATGTTTTCTTGTACATTCCTATTTCCTCAAACTTTATAAAAGGTAAAACATATGCGCATTGGCGTTAACGTGAGAGAAGGATGAAGAAGGACATAGATAGGGTTTTGTATGTTCCTCGCTTTTTTTACATAGTGAGTAAAAAAGGATAGTACAATGAAGGCATCTCTAGAATAGAGAAAAGGCAAACAGGTAAATAAGATGCACTTTTGTCTTTCCCATATATTGTTTACAGAGAAGGTCACTTGCTTTGGACATCTGTTACATTGCTCATTCATATATTATAAATTCATTTTGTTTTAAGGCTTATGATCTTTGTTACCTATATATGCATAATTCAATGTTTATTGATTTGAAAAGTAAATAGTAAAATAGAATATGTAAGTTTTTGTACTTTTTTACCTTGTCATTTTACATCTTATTAAGCTTGATCTGCTATAGGCACATATGTGAAATACTATATCTGCTGAAACAAAAAAATCAATCAAATTAGAAACTACAGAAGAGAAATGGGCACTAATATTTCACGTGAAGAGCTGAATGAGTACCGTGAGCTTGTGAAGGACCGTATTTCCGAGGAATCTATCGAATTTTTTTTCAACAAGTTTATTAAATATGCCCCGGATGGTCATATGTTGCCAATCCAATTCAAACACTACATTAACAGTACAGGTGTTTACAAGCACAATAAGCTCTGCTGGGACAAGTCAAGGCAACGGAGACCTCTCGTTCGCGCCGCGGGGATCTTTTCCCTATGGGGAGATCACACAACTTCATACGAAAATGAAGACGATGAAGATGAGTCTTGTATGATCACCAATTCACAAGAGCTATATACAGGAGACACAAGCGACATGTATCCACATCTTTTTCGCGCTTATGACTTTGACGGTGATGGTATTATTACATTCAAAGAGTTCTTGATTTACCACTTGGCAATTATTTATAGTACAGAGGAGCTTTTTCAGGTTATTTTCAACACCTACGACACTGACAATGATGGTTTCCTATCTCTTACTGATATTAAGTCCGTTATTACGGCTGCCACGTTTTATGTTGGAGACTACGATGTGCGGGATAGGGAGGTACAGCGTGTAATTGATGAGGAGGCGCGTCGTCTGATGGGTTTCTTGGATATTCATCAGCAGGGTTTTGTGTGGAAAGAAGACATGCGTCTTATTACCCAACGCTATCCTCAAATTCTAGAGAAAATGAAAAACTTGATGTGAGCGTGTCAACTGGCGTGTGCTCCGGATTCTGTGGTGGGTGCAAGGGTAAATCCTTTTCATGTATGTGTGCCCTGTTTTACACGGTACCTTCTGTTTTTCTGTATACACTGGTTTAAGTATATCTATTTTTGGGGGGGTTTCAATTGATACATTCTTCTATAACATCAGCATTTAGTTGCCCTATCAACTAAGCTGTGCGTATACCTTTGTACAACTTTCTAATTTTTCTAATCCAGCCATGGCGAGACAACTATTTGAGCTTCATCTTTTCCTCTTACTTTAAATAAAGAGTTTATTATCTCTCTAGAACCAGGTAAAATCATTTATAGGGGATTGTAAAGAGAAGATCACTCGATTGTGTGCATTTTAAAGAACTCAAGTTTCCATTTTGTAGCTTTATTTTCTTGTGTTTTGCATTCAGAGTTATTAAACGCGTAGTTTACCTAAAAAAGAGGTCATTGTGTAACACTAGTACACATACAAGTAACCACAACGAAAGTTAGTTTTACCTATCTCTCCTTTACAAAGGTCTAACGTTGCATTATTGTATGTGACCCACACCTAAAAAAAGATAGACATTTACTTCATTTTTTTAATACATAACCAAACTGAAAGACCTTAAAGCCTTCGTTTTTTTCCTTGTTGATATCTAGAAGAAAAATCCACTCTTTTTTATTTGTATTTTTAATTTTTGAAGCCTCATCGTAGTCGTTTAACTCTTCTATTCTTTACCTTTTACTTATTTTCTCTAGTTTTCCCTTTCGTGCAAATTTAATTGTTGTCCGTTGCTAATCAAGAGGTGGAAATAGGGACTTCACTCAAAAAATCATCCGGTAGTGATTCTCTTTTCCCTTTTTTTCACAAAGGGAAGTGAAAAGCTTTTGCTCCTTTTTTAGGTATTAAAATAAAGAATAAGTTGACAGCCCTTTCTCAAGGTGAAGCTTTTTGATTTGTAATATTTACTTATTCGATTTTCTTTCAGTGAGAAATAAAACTATCTTTGAGTTGTTGTTTTTGTTGCTTTGGTAAATTGATACCATTTTATCATATCTATAGCTAAAAAAAATAAATACTTGAGTCGCTTTTTTCACTTGATCTAGATAGACCTTTTATCAGCTTTTTGTAATTTGCACACATTTTTTAATATTATATTGATAGGTAAAAAAGTACGCACGCTACGGGATCTACTTACATTAATTTGTTGAGTAGAGGGAAAAGTGAGGTTTCCTGATTAAGGGACAAGGTATATAGTTCTTGACGAGGATGGTCGACAAGAAAAATAATCTCATAAAAAAAAAAAATCCACGACGTAAACAACAAGAGCACAAGTTTCTAAAGAATGGTACAAAAGCTTCAACCCTTGTCCCCGCATTTTCCAATTGCACTTTACATGAGCTCTCGTCTTCGCGGCCACTTCCTCAAGACGACAAGACGTTTTTGGCCGGTAAGGTTTTGATCCAACCGTCCCCGGCCGCTTCGAAGTCCGTGCTGCCCTCCGCGGAGGGTGGCCCTGCACCCGCGGCGCTCCTCCAGGGAGTCGAGCGGTCCCAGCTCAATTTGCCCGTCCCCCCGATTCTGGCACAGGAAAAGGGCTTGGGTGCCCTCCCCCCGGGCCGGGTCGTGGGGATCCCCGTGGCCTACTCACCTCATCTTTCACACGCCATAACAGTGTCACCGGTGGAAGACCCACTGGGGACCCCCCCCTTGGGGGAAGTCCATGGGCTGATAAACGGCGGCGGCCGCAGCGCGAGCCATGCCGGTGGTCCAGGCCTCAAGGGCGATGACAGGGTTCTCAGCCATACGGGCGCCCTCCCTCTAGGGAAAACAGACAAGGTCTGTGGGAGACAAGGCTGCGCCGACGAGATGTCCGCTTATGGGGTGGTGGATGGTGAGACGGCACCCCCTGCATCGGAGGGTCCCTTCGTGCAAACCAACCACATCCCGCAATGTCCGCCGCTTTTAGTGGCCGACGTGGGCGAGATTTCTCGGCTTCCACAGTTGCTCCAGACGATGCCAAGCGCAGAATTGTTCAGTCAACATAAAGACGGAGATACAATGCTCCGTGAGGTGACTCCGCCGTCATCAGTCACAGGAGCCATAGTTTCGATTCCTTGTAGAATGCTGCCGCCCGATGCGCAACCAATTTCCAACACAGGTTCCAGCGGCAGCCTTAAGATTAGTGATCCTCCCTATACGGTTCATGGGTTGATAGTACCCACAAATTCCAGTCATACAACCTTTCTCAACTGTCCTCGCTCAGATTCGATGGACTTCACACCAGAGGTAAGCTCTTCCCTGAGCAGCCTTGTGGAGCGTGAGATGCTTGCTTATCTTGTGCCCTCGCTGATAGGGCTGCATCGTCGCCGCAATCAGCTTCGTCGCCTTGTGGAACACGTCACTAAGGCCATTCGACACGCTGGTCAGGCTCAGAAACGAAGCTACGGCGCCATCCGCTATTATATATTTGGAAGTGTAAACATGCGCACAGTGCTACCAGAAGGAGACAATGACGTTACCATCGAGGTGGAAGGACTTTTACCGCCCGACAGTGTAACAGTTGATCCAGTTGAATTATTGCGCACAAGCAGGAGGGCTAACAAAGGTGAGACCTCTCCGCAGCGGTTTGTGGCCGGATCCACTTCTTCGTTGCCGGTGCCCACGGATTGTGTTAGCAGCGGGGTGCCACTTCCTCCTATTACCACAGACAGCAGCTCGGGCAACCGAGAGGGCACGCTGCACCTCACTACTACAGCAAATGGGAAGCCGATCTTGGCGCCGCCCGCGGCACTTAACATCGCCTCTGGTGACTTACTCTCGCGAATACGAGAATACCTACAAAGTAGATCCCCTATTTACGTCGATACTCTTGTTATGGCTGAGGTTCGAGTGTTAAAACTATTGATGGAGGGCTGCTCTTACGATGTGACGATTGGCCAGTTCGGTGGCGTCAACTGCGTTCGATTTCTCCATGAAATGGATGCTGTCATCGGCGGCGAGCACCTGTTAAAGCGCACGCTCCTGCTACTTAAATCATGGTGCTGCTATGAAGCACATGTCTTGGGAGGTCAGGCGGGTTACATTGGTTCCTACGCAGCCACGGTAATGCTGATCTCGTTGATAAACACTGTGGAGTTTTTTGAGGACTTAACGGAAAACACCCAGAGAAGCACACCAGCACACACTGCAGGGCACAGCGAAGCAAATATCATGCCTTTTAATGGAAAGGATACCGACCTGCGCGATGCAGCGAGCTGCGGGGAAGGGGAAACAACGACAACGATGTCTGCCGTGCCCGACCGCGTAACGCCTCTGATACTATTCGCCCGCTTTCTAAAATTCTACTATTACTTTGACTATGATCATTATTGTGTGACTGCCTTCGGGCCACTGCGCCTGACTGACATCACATCTACCCCCTACGATCTCAGCCAGCTTGAGGTGGACTCTGTGCATAACATACCACACCCAAACAGGGCCAACGTCAATACAAATTTCCTGGGCCTTACACCAGAGGGCGAAGAAGCTATTGGGCATCTCATTCGCCGCCGCCGCCAGCCATTACTTACTGTGAGTGGTGTGAAGCATCTGTTGGATGAAATGAATACCTCACGTGCATTAGAGCGAAAGCGGTGGTACGAAGAACGGCAGCGTGCACGCCTCAAGTCTGACACTGAGTCAGTGGATGTAAGTGTGAGTGATGAATTGACATCTGAAATACATCAACCCGTGCAGCTTAACCGCCGCGGTAATGTCGAGGAGGATGCCCATTTAATTTGTCCATCCTGCACAACCGCTCTTTTCCCAGTACGCTCTATGAATGTTCTGGACCCGCTACGATGGAGCAGCAATATGGTGCGCGGTGTTTGCCGCAACCACCTCCAGCGCATCCGCCGTGCCTTTCAGGAGGGCCTTCGTTTACTTCAAATTTGCTCTTACAAGTTGTACTGTGCTAAAACAGAGTTACCTTTTATTAACGGTGGTAGCGATAAAGCGGAAATGCGAGCCACTGGCCTGCCCACAAGGTCTGCCTCTTCAAACGGCAGCAGCAGCTTCAGCAGCGGTGGTACCTCATTTGACAGGCATCAGACACAGCTATCGCAGTCACCTTCGAAACAAGATAACTCATCGTGTTACTTGCGCAATAACCCCACCGCTCCAAGTACAAGCAGTGGGGATCTGCCTTTTCCAGGTTTTCCATCACCGTTCTCCACCCTAACTTACCGCGAGGTGGAGGTCCTCCAGATGCTTTTCGGGAGCACTATCAGCGCAACCCAGAGGTACAGCGACGTTAATTGTCCGTGGGGGCAGAATGAGGTGCAGCTCCACGGGGCGTCCCTGCCGCGGTGCCTGACCTGCCGCCAACCATCGGTTCTGTGCGCACCGAACATTCATCAGATGTGCGATCCGGCATGCGTTAGCCCACCTCTCTCCGACAGCGCGTCGGCCCGTCTGGAGGATGCGGCGGCGGGGCCGCGGGTGTCGGGGCCTCTGGGG